AAGGCCATCCGCTCCATCAATTCCATCATTGTCCGATGGGAGCCATACCGTGGCGGCCGTCACGACGTCACCCAGTGTCAGCGTTGCCTGAATTTCGGGCACGGCACGCGAAACTGCTTCGTCAAGCCGCGCTGTGGCAAATGCGCCCAAAACCATGTCTCCTCCGAGTGTGTTGTGAACGAGTCGGAAACGGCCAAATGCGCCAATTGTGATGGCGCTCATCAAGGGTCCGACAAACAGTGCCTCAAACGCGAAGATTTCAAGCGGATCCGAAAGCAGGCGTCTACAAGAAATCAACCAGGACGAAAGAAGGAAAATACGCCGGCATTCAGAGTGGAGGACTTCCCACCTCTTCCTGCTACGCAACACGGTCAAGCAAATCCGCAGACCCATCTTAAATCCGGTGACAGCTTTTGGTTGCCTGATCACCACATTATCTGGCTTGATCGTATCGACTCCAGGGGGGGTGGTGTTGTGATCATTATCAAGAAAGGAATCAAGTTCTGCACGCTGCCGCATATCCGCACTTCTATCATCGAGGCCCTTAGTGTGGAGGTGGAATCAACAACCGGAAACGTTCGGTTCATCGCCGTATACTGCCCTCGTCAGTGTGCTACCAGTGATGGATTAGGCATCCAATTTAAAAATGTCCTGACCACCATCACTCGCACAAGCTCACGATTCGTCATTGGGGGTGATTTAAATGCCCGCCACGAAGCATGGCGGAACTATCAGCGGAATCAGAATGGACGTCTGCTCTTCGACCACTCGCAGCTTGGGCTGTATACAGTCCAATTTCCGCATGAACCGACATTCATCTCTCCGGCGGGAAACCCTTCCACGTTGGACTTTTTTCTATCGAACTTTGGACTATCCAAACCGATGGCGATCAACGATCTCAGCTCCGACCACCGACGGTGGTGGCTGAAGTCGGCACCCACGTGACACCTGCTCAAAGCCTGCGCAAAGACTACCATCATGTCAACTGGGTGCAGTTTGGGCATGTGGTTGACAGAAACATCGATGAAAATCCGCCGCTTGACACCGTAGAGGACATTGACCGGGCACTGAAAGGACTCCACCAGGCCATATCCGTGGCTGACGAGACGTGTGTTCGACAAGTTCCTGTGTGGGGTAAGTTTGTTACCATTGATTCCCACACCCAATTACTGATTCGCTTGAGAAATGTGCGTAGACGCCAGTTTCAGAGGACTGGAGATCTGAGCAAAAAACGTGAAATGGCCGATCTGAACAGACAGATTGCTTGCAGAATGGATTCACTCCGAAATGAAAGTTTCGGGCGTGTTGTCCAGAATCTGGATGACCGCTCCCGTCCTTTCTGGAAGGTAACCAAGGTGCTGAAAACTCATCCCAAACCCGTTCCACATCTCAGAGTCGGAAATGATGACAATCGGCTCATAACCCCACAAGAGAAAGCAAATGCGATTGGCAATCATATTGCTGCATCGCATTTGCTTGGCTCAACTATCCAAAGTCCGCTCGAAAATCAGGTGACGCAATGCGTCCAAAATGTAGATTACTCCCCTTGTGCCGTGCCTCCGGAGGATAGAAGTACGGTAGAACAGATTTGCTCAGCGCTGAAATATTCAAAGAATATGAAGGCCCCCGGTTTTGACGGCGTACTTAACCTAATCATAAAAAGGCTTAGCATGAAAGTCTATGCAGTAGTTCAACAGATGCTTGGAGCTGCACTACTTTCCAAGCATCTGGAAGATAGCAAAAATAATACCGATCCGCAAACCCGGTAAAGATCCAGCATTGCCATCAAGCTACAGACCGATCAGCCTCCTCTCAGCGCTGAGCAAATTGTTCGAGAAACTCATTCTCAATAGATTGCTCAAGTTTGTGGAGGAAAACAATATTCTCCTACCGGAACAGTTTGGGTTCAGGAAGGGGCACTCCACCACTCATCAACTAGTACGGGTGATGAACAACATTCGAAGTAACAAGGCTGTATCCAAGTCCACAGCCATGGCCTTGCTAGACGTCGAAAAGGCGTTGGACAATGTCTGGCATGACGGACTTATATTCAAACTTCGTAACTTCAATTTACCGTTGCATTTGATCAAAATTACCCTTCAGCAAAGGTCGTTCAAGGTATCGTTGAATGGTTGTCTCTCTGACAAATTTTCCATCCCGGCAGGCATTCCTCAAGGCAGTTTGTTGGGCCCCTTGCTCTACAGCTTGTATAATTCTGACATTCCTCCCCTCGGAGACGGTTGCGTGTTCTTCCTGTTCGCAGATGATACCGCGATATCAGTCAAGGGCAGAATGCCTCGCGAAATTACAAACAAACTACAACGATGCCTTGACACCTTTGCTGACTATGCAAAAGCTTGGAAAATCAAAATCAATGCCTCCAAAACCCAAACTATCATGTTCCTGCATAGGCAATCACCCAAACTGATACCGGCACCTTCTTGCACAGTAGTCATGGATGGCACAAGGGTTGAGTGGTCTGCTGAAGTTACGTACCTTGGAATGGTATTCGATGAGAAGCTCCTGTTCCGCTCTCATATGTATAGAAAAGACGTTAGTTAAGTGTTCAAGCTTAGTTAGGTGTTTGTATCCGCTGATTTCTCGCAGATCCCGCCTCTCTAGGGTTAACAAACTGGCTGTCTACAATCAAATCATAGCACCTGCAATTTTCTACGCAGCACCGGTGTGGGAATCAAGTGCTCAAACTCACAGGAACAAAGTCCAGGTGGCACAAAACAGAGTGCTTAGGATGATCCTCGATCGTCCTTTCGACACTAGAATAACAAATTTACACGAAGAGGCAGACATTCCAAAAATAGATTCTAGAATTAACGAAATTAAGACTAAATTTGCCCAAAAATGCAATGTATCAGAACCTGCTTTGATAAGCAATTTGTATATAGTAGGTTAGTTGTACATAGTAGTTGTAGTTGTAAAAAGTAGTTATAAGTAGTTTTCCCTTTTCCAATTTAAAACAAACCAATCCCACCAAGGTGGTCATTCTTAAAAACAGGCCCGATAGGACTAGGAACTATAAATAATAATTAAAAATTTCAAAATGAACTAAAGTTGAAAAGACGCATCTGTGTCACTTGTTAATTCATACATGTAAAACCACACAAATACCAGAAATAAAGATCATTTAAAGTCAAAAAAGTCGTTGACGGATTCTTACGACGGACTGTGGAGAGAGCGGACGACCAGCAAAGGACCACCAGCAGAAGGGATAGTGGCACTAGCGGACCAACAGAGGGAGCAGCAGATTCGGGGAACCGTGACTGAACTCGGTAAAACCATCCTCTTTTTTTGCGATGATGCTACTGGCGCCCGACCCGAAACACACCGCTCGCAAAACCATGAAGTTTTTCCACGGATGCCGTATGAAATTGCTCGATTGGCCACCGCAATCCCCAGAACCTAATCGAGACTTTGTGGTCAAAGGCAAGGTTACAAACAAACATAAGCTGTTTGAAGCCCACGAGCATGCCTGGCAGAATATTGGTTGAAAGTATGCCACGGCGTTTGCAAGCAGTCATCAAGCTTAAAGGGGGACATCCGAAATACTAAATTCTATGTTCATGGTTTTGAAGAATCGAAAACATGTTTGAGTCTTTTTTTTCTGCCACTGATAATCTAAAAATAAATGACGATTTTATTGATAGGTATAAGAATATTAATAATATCAGTATTTTTATTTCATAAGTCGAAAGAAGACTCAGAGTACTGTATTTTCTTCAAATACACAAAATTTATACAACTGCTTATTACGAAGTTATAGCATTCATGTGCACTTTATTTCTGCCAGTATACTAGCACCACGTAGTGGTAAAATTCTGAACTACTGTCCACCAGTGAAAAGATCTTGTCCTCTTGAACAACTTTGCCGAAGAGAGTAACTTTCTATCTGGTCAGGATCTCGAGATATTTTATATGCGGCAATTTCACGTGTATACTAGCGCCGCGTAGTGAGAAAATTCTGAACTATTGAGCATCAAACAATAGGCTTTCACCTCTTGAGCAACTTTGTTGAAACAGTAGTTTTCTATATGGTTAGGATCTCGAGATATATCACGTGCGAGAATTTCACATGTATACTAGCGCTACGTAGCGAGAAAATTCCCACGTAGTATGGGGGAAGTAAAGCCGTTGATCCGGTACATGAGTTGATGGGTCGATAGGTAGGGTCCAGGTGTGGGAGCTGCCTTCCTGGCACCAGTTGCAAAGACGTGGCCAGGACGGATCTGAACTGTTGGAAGAAGACACATCCCTTATCTAAGAGGTAGTGATTAATCCCAAATCGCTTGCTTGCAGTAACGGATAAAGGTGAGCCTTCTTCTTAACATCAGTTTAGAACTCGTACCACCTACGATTGTGTGCAACTTGAATTGTGCTATGCTATGCTATGCTTTTTCCAATATTTTTAGAAAAATTAAACACACTCACACTCAGTTGGAATAATCTGTACACTATATTGGTTATTCAAGTTAAAGTGCCAAAATAATAATAATTTTCTTCAAATCATCTTCACTCCAATCCAAATACAACTAGTTTCAAGATAATCTTTGATTGTTTCAACCAGTGCAGTGAGATGTTTTCAACACACGTGTCTGATTGGGATGTTTACTATACACTATCCTTATGTCCACTTGCCAACTCGTTTCTATGGCATTGTGCAAGCGGAGTGGCAAAATTCACCAAACAATTGACCACATGAAGGCACGCTTTGCTGCAGCCGTCTAATCCAACCGGGTATGTCACGGTCTATCGTCTTCATGGTTTCCAAATATTGGATCATGCCTGGCGTCTCGAAGATAACAGAGGAAACAAACAAATAAAAGTCCAATCAACAATCTGTGAGCAGATGGGCGCGAAAATATCGTTTTCCGTATGGAAAATCTCTCCCAGAGATTCGCCATTCCACTGCTTGATGAATGGTCTGCCTCGTGGCAAATCCAATGAACGGGAGAGTCAATAAAGTTTATAACATAAGAACTCTTTATTTTCAGCCTTAGACATTTGACTGCAAGAATTTGCACAAACAAAACTACAAACAAATTACAAACACAACAATGACAACAAATCTTCAAACAATGTTTCCTTCCAAAACATTTACACAAGAACACATCTTAAAATAGCCTCAGTTGCGCCAAGCTCCCAGTCGCAAAAGGCGATAGTTTTCACAGGGAACTGGCACGTTATCGTTACTGGGTTGCAGGAACGCCTGAGGAGCCTGGTAGAAATCGAACCGGTTATCCACATTTGCACAGATTATACTGGCCAGCGAAGTTCGCCGGATTTGCTTCAACTGCTGCAGCGTAAAGGCACCCGGATTTACCTCCGGAGAGTTGGTGAAGTAGTACCTGTCTCCAAACTTGTACCGCGAGTACGCCTTCGCTAGCAGATGACTGAATGTCGGTCCCACAACGGCACCATTCGCCGGAGGTTCCAACACACCGCCAGGCCACAGATCGATGTCGTCGGGAGATTCGTAAACCTGCGCTAGCCGTGCTCCCACCTTGCCCAGTTGTCGGAAATCGGTTATCCGGGGAAGTCCTGCCCATTCGCGATAATCGTTGTACGGCCGCAAGGCAAAGTCACGACTTCGTTGCATATTTATCGCGGCCAAATCCGAACCGAAAGGTTTACGCTCCTTGAACAGGAACCGGGTAAGGCCAAAGGTGACAGCGTTATCCATCGACTCCATGGGCTGTTGGTTGAAAGAGAACATCATTTCGTCGAAACTGTCCGGTTCCAGCGTCTTGGTCGGATCGTTGAAGATGTCCTTGATGAAGACGTCCTCCGGAGGTGCCTTTTTGTGGAGGAGTCTGGAAAGGAAAATTATGTATTGATTTGATGAAATAAGTAACGGTTCAAGAGGTTCCATACCGGAAGAACCCTTCAACGGTGGAGTGGCCGTAACGTTGGGCCGCCACTGCAACCTCAGCAAGCGTCATCGGTCGAAGATTCGGATTGTAGAAGTTGGTGAACCCTTTAATAGGATCCTCCAGTCCGAACTGTTGCACCTTCCGATGACCCAGGAGAATCGGGAGGTACTCATTGTACACCACGTTCTGAAGCTCAGCAATCACTATCCTCCTCGACTCTTGGTAAATCGTTTCGTCGTCCCAGTGGGTATTGAGTCGACTCAGCTCCTCTGCCACTCGATTGTGTTCCCTCATGAACAGCGTATGAACCATGGTCAAAGCGAGCAGCTGATTGGTTCGAATATCGCCCGCATCGTAGCAAACTCGTGCCCACGGGACGCAATCCCGGGGATCTCTAGCGAACGGAAGCAGTTCGATTCCGGTTGGGAACGAGTCCCGCAGCTTGCCTTGTCGGAACGAGCGAAGAGCAAATGCCACATCATCAGTCGATCCGTACACCACCGATGCATCGATGAAGTGAGTAACGAGATCGGCTTGTTTTGCGTAGCCCATTTTGCATTTGGGGCCGCGAGCTAGTCGGATCCGGACCACGTTTAAACAGCGAACGCCAAACTTGGAGTAGAACGGATCATCGGGGCTGACGGAGATGGGGAAACAGGCAAAATGCCGTTGTGCTCCGGTCAATTCCCGGGAGCCATCCGGGGTGCAGCATTCGATCGGTTGACCATTCTTGAGCGTGATGCTTCGGCTGAGGGTAAAATCATGGGATATGAATTGGCCAAGCTGCATGAATAGAATGTTCAGGGTGGGGTCCGGTCGGAAAAGGTCCGGAAATAGCGCTACAGAAATGGTTCGAGCACTCTCCAGCAGGTTGCCGGTTACCGAGTGGATTCTGAAAAGGGAATGGTTTGATATGTTTCATATTCTGTATCTATGGTGAATTGGTGAAAGGCCTTGAAGAATAACCGCTGCAAACAATGAACTTTTGAGCCTATTGTTTACTTACCTTGGCGCCCATACTCCATCTTCGTACGCCGGCGACAGAACCCTGTCGAAAGGATAGCCAGCTTGTCCCCAGCTGGTCCGGTCTGGCCGTGGATTGTTGCACGTGCCGTTGATGGTCCGGTAGCGTGCATTCGGATTGCATGGTACCGGTGGCAGACAACGCTTCTGCACTGCCCTGGGAAGCCTCACAAACCGATCACCTTGCCGCTCCTCCAAGGTCATATTCGTCATCTCAGCAAATTTTTGACTGGCAAAAATATGCCCATAAACGTCGGATTGCTCCTCGGGGTCCTGGGCATGCGCATGATCTCTTACGGCAGCAGGTCGCAACATACGGTGAAACAACGATTCCTGTTGATCCTTGGCAGTCATTGCGGCTCGATGTTTGTCCTCATGGCGTAGCTTTTCGTTGTACTCCTGTTGGCCCTCGTTAATGGCGTTCAAGTACAAGTACTCACCGGGATGCTCCAGGGAACGTTTGTGAAGGTGGCTACTGTTGCTACTGCTGGTTTCATTTTGCTCGCTTGTGGGACAGCAAACTCCATCCACGTGGGTTGCAGTCGAACATGGCTTCAAGTTGGCTTTCGCTTCAAAGCCAAAAGAGCATTCCATGGCGGCCGTACAGGCTTCATTGTACTCGCAAACTGCTGTGATCAAGGCCCAATTATAATCAACCACGTGATTCAATTCATGACGGCTCACTACTTACCGTTTTCATCGACGGGCTGTGGAACGACCGAGTAGTTTAGATTGGGACTAGTTGCTACTCCGGTAGAATGCAGTCTTGCCTGGATTTGCATTGGTCCGGCCGAAACGCACAACACTGCCAGAAAATGGCTCACTAGCAAAACTTTTTCCCTCATGCTGTACCGCATTTTTACAGATTAAAATTTAACAGGACCAGCGTTGGCCTGACCTTCACTGACCACAGGTCCAATATCATCTGCAGTAGCAGCGAGTGTGAACAAGGTTAACCTATTTGGGATAGTTAGAACAATAGATAACTGGGAGAACAATGACCTATGGGAATAGATAATGCCCGAAAATTGCCACTTACCGTCCCCCCCCCCCCCCGCTGTGATCCGCATTCTCCACTATCTTGTTTGAAGCAATAAATAATTGTTCTTCCAGTGTCTGCAACTTTGCATCTTTCTTGCACCAACACATACACACCATCCAAAGCAAACAATTGCAATTGTTCTCGAACTTGTGGTCAGATCAGCTCAGCAAGCTCTGTTCTATACAAAAATTAATGTTTTAAAAGTGGAAGAACTATGTTGGCAAAAGTTTTGCTGGTGAGCCTTTTCCCGGTAGTGTTGTGCGTTGGGTCCGGACCACAGTTATCTACCGGTGAAGCATCGAGTGCCAATCTAACGCATGCGGTCATACGGCAGCACGATCCAAACGGTATGTACCTAGCACAGACGATGGGAAATTAATTTTACCCAGAAATGATGCTTGAATAAAAATGGGCTTTCTGGTTCAGCAGGGTGCGAGCAAAATGAAGCCTGTACGGTTGCCGTGGAATGTGCGTCAGATGCTGAAGCGAAAGCAAACATGATGCCATGTTCCAGTGCGAGCGGCGTGGTTGGAGTTTGCTGTCCCACCAGCCCTAACCACCGCCACAAACGGTCCCTGAAGCCTGGCGGTGAGTATTTTTTTCTAAGTGCAATCCACGATGGTCGACGACAGTACGACGAACAATTGCGCCATATGCACAAACACCGCGCAACGATGACTGCCAAGCAGAAACCGGAATCCATGTTCCATCGGCTTCTGCAACCAACGGGACTAGGACACGGACACTTTAAGGACCTGACACAACAAGCCGATATATATGGACATGTCTATGCCAGCCGAAAATACGCCGATATGACCCATATGAGCTTGGAAGAACGGCAAGGTGATTTATTTATCAGGGGTCCTAGGAACGTGGAACCGATGGTGGTGTGGTGCGACCCATATGCTCGCTACCGTACCATCGATGGGTCGTGCAACAACCCACTGCCGGATCGGGCCGGCTGGGGTTCAGCTGGCTACCCGTTCGAGAGGCTTCTGCCACCGGCGTACGAAGATGGAGTATGGGCGCCAAGGTAAGCGACATATTGTGCTCGGTGAACAATGGGTAATGGCTTCGTTCTTCATTTTATTGAATTGTAGAATTCATTCGGTGACCGGCAACCTGCTGGCCAGCACCAGAACCATCTCCGCCGTGCTGTTTCCGGACGTCGACCATCCGGATCCCCATCTGAACATCCTATTCATGCAACTTGGTCAGTTTGTAACCCACGACATAACCCTCAGCCAAAGCATCCCGCTGGACAATGGTGAAGACGTCGAATGCTGCACTCCGGATGGCTCCCGAGCTCTGTACGGAGAAGAGCTACACTTTGCCTGTATGCCCATCGAAATCAGCCCGTACGATCCGTTCTACTCCCGGTTCGGCGTTAGTTGCATGAACTTTGTCCGTATCAAGCTGGCATGCGGATCAGAATGTACACTGGGCTACGGCACTCAAGGCAACTCGGTGACTCACTTCATAGATGCATCTCCGGTTTATGGTTCGTCGGACTTTGTGGCAGCTTCTGTCCGATCGTTTCACCAGGGTCAACTACGTGCGTCGTATCCAACAGGAATCGAATTGCCTCCGTTCGCTAGCAATCCACGAGACTGCGTACCATGGGCTCGAGTGTGCTTCGAAACCGGCGATATACGAGTGAATCAGTTACTTGCGTTGACTCAGGTTCAAACACTGTTTCTGAGGGAACACAACCGACTCGCAAAGGGGTTGAGCCACGTCAATCCTCACTGGGACGATGAGAAACTGTATCAAGAGGCGAGGAAGATTGTGATTGGCGAATACCAGAACCTGGTATTCAACGAGTACCTCCCTCTTCTACTAGGTAGGAAGAAGGCGCAACAACTGATGGATCCTCCGCATGGTCATACGTACTTCTACAATGCAAATCTCCCACCAATGACGCTGACGGAGTCCGCGGTGGCAGCCTTCCGTTTTGGTCACTCCACTATCGACGGATTCTTCCGGTATGAAACAACCGAAGCCGTATCCTTCCATCAAATTCAACTGCTTTTTTTTAAACTTCTCTAATTACAGTCTTCTGTACCGGGATGCACCACCGGAGATCGTTCCCATTGCGGACGTCTTCACCGATCCGTCCAAGATTTTGGAACCGAACAGCTTCGACCGTATGATGCACTCTTTTGGGGAACAGCCGCAGCAGCAGGTGGACAACTACAAAACCTACGGCGTCACCCGATTTCTGTTACCTGAGGGAAAACCGTATGGGTCAGATTTGGCCGCGATAAACATGCAACGGGGCCGAGACTTTGCCATGCGTCCGTACAACGATTACCGAGAATTGGCGGGACTCCCTCGGGTGACGGATTTCCGACAAATGGGCGAAATGGCTGAGCTGCTGGCGCAGGTTTACGAGTCTCCCGATGACATCGATCTTTGGCCAGGTGGTCTGTTGGAACCGCCAGGGAATGGTGCCATAGTGGGCCCAACGTTCAGTTATTTGATAGCAGAAATGTTCTCTCGGCTTAAATTCGGGGACAGGTACTACTTCACCAATGGTCCGGAGGTAAATCCGGGTGCTTTTACGCTGCAGCAGTTGAGTGAAATTCGACGGACCTCGCTGGCCAGTTTAATCTGTGCCAATGTGGACAACTGGTACGATTTTTACCAGACTCCAAAAGCATTCCTTCGTTCAAGTTGGGATAACGAACCGATTCCCTGTGCGAGCCATTACTCGTTGGACTTGGACGCTTGGCGCGATTGAACTTTTGGATGCGTCCTAAATTTGTGTTTCAGTGTTCAATGGAAGCATTGATTTAGAAAATGTTTGTTTGACTTTTTAGGGCTTATTTTATGAAAATATAACTTTTATTGACCAGCTTGTACAGCATATAATACATTGTTTTTCATTCCCGGATTTCCCAGTATGAAATAATACAAAATCCTCTATTTGGCAGCTGGTGGGCCTGCCAAACCTTTAAATCGATTTATCTCCGTTAATATGGCTCTAATCGCAAAAAGAGGGGTGTTCAGATGCTCGAAATTTCAATACCCGGATTTCCCAGTATAAAATAATACAAAATCCTCTATTAGGCAGCTGGAGGGCCTGCCAAACCTTTAAATCAATTTATCTCCGTTAATATGGCTCTAATCGCAAAAAGAGGGGTGTTCAGATGCTCGAAATTTCAATACCCGAATTTCCCAGTATAAAATATTACAAAATCCTCTATTAGGCAACTGGAGGGCCTGCCAAACCTTTAAATCAATTTATCTCCGTTAATATGGCTCTAATCGCAAAAAGAGGGGTGTTCAGATGCTCGAAATTTCAATACCCGAATTTCCCAGTATAAAATATTACAAAATCCTCTATTAGGCAACTGGAGGGCCTGCCAAACCTTTAAATCGATTTATCTCCGTTAATATGGCTCTAATCGCAAAAAGAGGGGTGTTCAGATGCTCGAAATTTCAATACCCGAATTTCCCAGTATAAAATAATACAAAATCCTCTATTAGGCAGCTGGTGGGCCTGGCAAACCTTTAAATCGATTTATCTCCGTTAATATGGCTCTAATCGCAAAAAGAGGGGTGTTCAGATGCTCGAAATTTCAATACCCGGATTTCCCAGCATAACATAATACAAAATCCTCTATTTGGCAGCTGGTGGGCCTGCCAAACCTTTAAATCAATTTATCTCCGTTAATATGGCTCTAATCGCAAAAAGAGGGGTGTTCAGATGCTCGAAATTTCAATACCCGAATTTCCCAGTATAAAATATTACAAAATCCTCTATTAGGCAACTGGAGGGCCTGCCAAACCTTTAAATCGATTTATCTCCGTTAATATGGCTCTAATCGCAAAAAGAGGGGTGTTCAGATGCTCGAAATTTCAATACCCGAATTTCCCAGTATAAAATAATACAAAATCCTCTATTAGGCAGCTGGTGGGCCTGGCAAACCTTTAAATCGATTTATCTCCGTTAATATGGCTCTAATCGCAAAAAGAGGGGTGTTCAGATGCTCGAAATTTCAATACCCGGATTTCCCAGCATAACATAATACAAAATCCTCTATTTGGCAGCTGGTGGGCCTGCCAAACCTTTAAATCAATTTATCTCCGTTAATATGGCTCTAATCGCAAAAAGAGGGGTGTTCAGATGCTCGAAATTTCAATACCCGAATTTCCAAGTATAAAATAATACAAAATCCTCTATTAGGCAGCTGGAGGGCCTGCCAAACCTTTAAATCGATATATCTCCGTTAATATGGCTCTAATCGCAAAAAGAGGGGTGTTCAGATGCTCGAAATTTCAATACCCGGATTTCCCAGTATAAAATAATAAAAAATCCTCTATTAGGCAACTGGAGGGCCTGCCAAACCTTTAAATCGATTTATCTCCGTTAATATGGCTCTAATCGCAAAAAGAGGGGTGTTCAGATGCTCGAAATTTCAATATTCGAATTTCCCAGCATAAAATAATACAAAATCCTCTATTAGGCAGCTGGTGGGCCTGCCAAACCTTTAAATCGATATATCTCCGTTAATCTGGCTCTAATCGCAAAAAGAGGGGTGTTCAGATGCTCGAAATTTCAATACCCGAATTTCCCAGTATAAAATAATACAAAATCCTCTATTAGGCAGCTGGTGGGCCTGCCAAACCTTTAAATCAATTTATCTCCGTTTATATGGCTCTAATCGCAAAAAGAGGGGTGTTCAGATGCTCGAAATTTCAATACCCGAATTTCCCAGCATAAAATAATACAAAATCCTCTATTAGGCAGCTGGTGGGCCTGCCAAACCTTTAAATCGATTTATCTCCGTTAATCTGGCTCTAATCGCAAAAAGAGGGGTGTTCAGATGCTCGAAATTTCAATACCCGGATTTCCCAGCATAACATAATACAAAATCCTCTATTTGGCAGCTGGTGGGCCTGCCAAACCTTTAAATCAATTTATCTCCGTTTATATGGCTCTAATCGCAAAAAGAGGGGTGTTCAGATGCTCGAAATTTCAATACCCGAATTTCCAAGTATAAAATAATACAAAATCCTCTATTAGGCAGCTGGAGGGCCTGCCAAACCTTTAAATCGATATATCTCCGTTAATATGGCTCTAATCGCAAAAAGAGGGGTGTTCAGATGCTCGAAATTTCAATACCCGGATTTCCCAGTATAAAATAATACAAAATCCTCTATTAGGCAACTGGAGGGCCTGCCAAACCTTTAAATCGATTTATCTCCGTTAATATGGCTCTAATCGCAAAAAGAGGGGTGTTCAGATGCTCGAAATTTCAATATTCGAATTTCCCAGCATAAAATAATACAAAATCCTCTATTAGGCAGCTGGTGGGCCTGCCAAACCTTTAAATCGATTTATCTCCGTTAATCTGGCTCTAATCGCAAAAAGAGGGGTGTTCAGATGCTCGAAATTTCAATACCCGAATTTCCCAGTATAAAATAATACAAAATCCTCTATTAGGCAGCTGGTGAGCCTGCCAAACCTTTAAATCAATTTATCTCCGTTTATATGGCTCTAATCGCAAAAAGAGGGGTGTTCAGATGCTCGAAATTTCAATACCCGAATTTCCCAGCATAAAATAATACAAAATCCTCTATTAGGCAGCTGGTGGGCCTGCCAAACCTTTAAATCGATTTATCTCCGTTAATCTGGCTCTAATCGCAAAAAGAGGGGTGTTCAGATGCTCGAAATTTCAATACCCGGATTTCCCAGCATAACATAATACAAAATCCTCTATTTGGCAGCTGGTGGGCCTGCCAAACCTTTAAATCAATTTATCTCCGTTTATATGGCTCTAATCGCAAAAAGAGGGGTGTTCAGATGCTCGAAATTTCAATATTCGAATTTCCCAGCATAAAATAATACAAAATCCTCTATTAGGCAGCTGGAGGGCCTGCCAAACCTTTAAATCGATATATCTCCGTTAATATGGCTCTAATCGCAAAAAGAGGGGTGTTCAGATGCTCGAAATTTCAATACCCGGATTTCCCAGTATAAAATAATACAAAATCCTCTATTAGGCAGCTGGTGGGCCTGGCAAACCTTTAAATCGATTTATCTCCGTTAATATGGCTCTAATCGCAAAAAGAGGGGTGTTCAGATGCTCGAAATTTCAATACCCGAATTTCCCAGTATAAAATATTACAAAATCCTCTATTAGGCAACTGGAGGGCCTGCCAAACCTTTAAATCGATTTATCTCCGTTAATATGGCTCTAATCGCAAAAAGAGGGGTGTTCAGATGCTCGAAATTTCAATACCCGAATTTCCCAGTATAAAATAATACAAAATCCTCTATTTGGCAGCTGGTGGGCCTGCCAAACCTTTAAATCAATTTATCTCCGTTTATATGGCTCTAATCGCAAAAAGAGGGGTGTTCAGATGCTCGAAATTTCAATATTCGAATTTCCCAGCATAAAATAATACAAAATCCTCTATTAGGCAGCTGGTGGGCCTGCCAAACCTTTAAATCGATTTATCTCCGTTAATCTGGCTCTAATCGCAAAAAGAGGGGTGTTCAGATGCTCGAAATTTCAATACCCGAATTTCCCAGTATAAAATAATACAAAATCCTCTATTAGGCAGCTGGTGGGCCTGCCAAACCTTTAAATCAATTTATCTCCGTTTATATGGCTCTAATCGCAAAAAGAGGGGTGTTCAGATGCTCGAAATTTCAATACCCGAATTTCCCAGCATAAAATAATACAAAATCCTCTATTAGGCAGCTGGTGGGCCTGCCAAACCTTTAAATCGATTTATCTCCGTTAATATGGCTCTAATCGCAAAAAGAGGGGTGTTCAGATGCTCGAAATTTCAATACCCAAATTTCCCAGTATAAAATAATACAAAATCCTCTATTAGGCAGCTGGTGGGCCTGCCAAACATTTAAATCGATTTATCTCTGTTAATATGGCTCTAATCGCAAAAAGAGGGGTGTTCAGATGCTCGAAATTTCAATACCCGAATTTCCCAGTATAAAATAATACAAAATCCTCTATTAGGCAGCTGGTGGGCCTGGCAAACCTTTAAATCGATTTATCTCCGTTAATATGGCTCTAATCGCAAAAAGAGGGGTGTTCAGATGCTCGAAATTTCAATACCTGAATTTCCTAGTATAAAATAATACAAAATCCTCTATTAGGCAGCTGGTGGGCCTGCCAAACCTTTAAATCAATTTATCTCCGTTAATATGGCTCTAATCGCAAAAAGAGGGGTGTTCAGATGCTCAAAATTTCAATACCTGAATTTCCCAGTATAAAATAATACAAAATCCTCTATTAGGCAGCTGGTGGGCCTGCCAAACCTTAAAATCGATTTATCTCCGTTAATATGGCTCTAATCGCAAAAAGAGGGGTGTTCAGATGCTCAAAATTTCAATACCCGAATTTCCCAGTATAAAATAATACAAAATCCTCTATTAGGCAGCTGGAGGGCCTGCCAAACCTTTAAATCAATTTATCTCCGTTAATATGGCTCTAATCGCAAAAAGAGGGGTGTTCAGATGCTCGAAATTTCAATACCCGAATTTCCCAGTATAAAATAATACAAAATCCTCTATTAGGCAACTGGAGGGCCTGCCAAACCTTTAAATCGATTTATCTCCGTTAATATGGCTCTAATCGCAAAAAGAGGGGTGTTCAGATGCTCGAAATTTCAATACCCGAATTTCCCAGTATAAAATAATGCAAAATCCTCTATTAGGCAGCTGGTGGGCCTGCCAAACCTTTAAATCAATTTATCTCCGTTAATATGGCTCTAATCGCAAAAAGAGGGGTGTTCAGATGCTCGAAATTTCAATACCCGAATTTCCCAGTATAAAATAATACAAAATCCTCTATTAGGCAGCTGGTGGGCCTGCCAAACCTTTAAATC